ATAGAGTCATGGAGTTTGGTATTCATCAAGATCTTAGAGCACTCCTACATCTGAAAATAGTGAATTTGTAACTGTATCACGAATTTTTTTCTTTATGCTTGCACTTAGTAATTTGTGTTTAATTCAATAAAGGTCGTTGTGTAATTGTTTTGTAAAAAATCGATCAAGAATCCAATGAACTCCGAAAGTGACGATGATGTTTTCTCAGTACATCGATGAATTACGTACGGGTACGGAACCCTCCGTGCATAAGTTCCACTCTCACTTGGCCGTTGGCGTAGATGTTTTCTCAGTAGATCGATAAATGAGGGTACGGAACCCTCAGTGCACGAGTCCCACTCGCACTTGTCCGTTTTTTCCAATACTTTCGTTATTAGAGATCGCGGGGAAATGCAGACGACCAATGCATTAGCAAGGAGAAAATGGAAATCTTATCGAGGATTATTGGGTTCGGCTCCGATTCTAATGAAGACTTTTGCCGATTGCTTTGGAAAATTAGATTATAAAAGGTCAATGAAGGTTGGAATCATTTTTCAAGTACATTTCTGAATATTTCCATTTTAGAAACATAAGGAAAAATATTTGAAACATTAGTTTTTGTTACATAAATTTCTCTTATTAAATGAATACAATTAATTCTTACTACCGAACCTAGAATCTGTGTATATCGGATGACGACAATGAGTTTTTTAGTCTGCAATGAATTTGTGAAATAAAACTAGGTAACTTTAGAAGAAACTAATTAACACCGTAAGTCATTATCAATTCTTTCTTTACTTCGAGTAATAACTTCTAAAAAACTTTCAAACTTAAAAGCTAGTAGCTTTACCAAAGCCAGCGAGTTCGTAAAAACCATGGTGATTTTAGTTCTTGAAAGTAACCACTGTTCAATCTGTTAAACATTTCATGCATTTTTTACGCAGTAATTTTAATGTAATATTATTTATCATGTTGAGCACACAGACCTTCATGAGGTAGCTTCTATAGGCACCAGCCCATATGTTGTCCCGAAGTGGTGGTAGGGCAAGCTATATTTGGGACGTGTATAAGTGCTCTGGAAAGGGCCTATGTACTGAATAAACAATTTGTATTTTCTATGTATAATATGATTCTATGTATGTTTTTACAAAAAAAAAGTATTTAAGTATGTTTATATCCGTTGTCTAGTACCCATAGTACAAGCTTTGCTTAGTTTGGGACTAGAAGCGCAGTGTAAAAATGTCCAAGGATATTTATTTATTACTTTATTTGAATTTGAATATACCTACTTGATTTTCAATGGAAACAGAGTCCATGGAACAGAAACTCAACATGTAAATTCAGCTAACATGCAGCAGTTTGTACTTGATTTAGATTTCCTCATCGTATCTAATTCTAAGCCCTAATGCCGGCGATTACGCGCGCTAACGGAGCCGGCGGGTTCATTACCCAAACCGCCCTTTGTCCTTTGTGTAATGTCTCAGAAAATGGCAATTCGACCCGATCTCCTTTGAGGTAGTGATGGCGGTAGTTGTGAGAAAGTATCGATTTTTAATCGATTCCTATCGACGACTGCAATAGTTCATAAAGAGTCGATAAAAATCGAATCGGACCACCGATTTAAAGCTGGTATTTGAATCCCGACACCGGCGCAGGACTATGTTAGTGAACCCACTTCTAGCACAAGCAAAAGCATTTTCGTATTATGTCAGCTTAGTCAGAGGGACTAACGGGACTTTTAGTAATTTATGCTGTTCAAATTACCAATATATTATTTAAAAAATCGTTACAAATTTTTGAAGTTAATATACCCAATTACACTCTTATGGCGTCGAGGCAGCCTCTAGTAAAATGGGCTTACACTTTGGAAAATAGAATTCAATTGCAGATATCTATTTTAGGATTCCGACAGTATTTTTTGTATGTTGCATGCTACGAGTTCTTTAAATAAATACAATATTTGCAACTTCGATTGTCGAGTATCTCGAATCGATTCACGAGATCATTGTTACGATTCACCGACTTCAGACCGTCATCCCTAGCCTGACGAGTGTGAGTTTTTTGGTGGACTACGCCTGATTAGTTCCGTTGGTAATAAATAAGTAGATAAACCGCTGTTTTTATTGGGAAACGCACGCGGTTGGTTGGGCGGCCAATTTGATCACACGAGTGTTGAAGGGAGCTGATGAACGATTGTCTGTTACAAAAAAAATAATGTTCTTTTAACTAACTATCACTATAAACCAGAAACATGATGCTAATGTAAAGTAAACTAAGAAGTTAATAATATTTTAAAATATAACAAATACGCAGCTGGATTCGGGTTGCTTCTAACCGGCCATTCTGAAAATCATTGAGGGAAACCTATGTTCAGCAATGGACGTCCTACACTCGAATAAGAAAGATGACGAAGTATGTAGATTCTTAAAAAGAGTCACTTCATAGTTGATGATTGATTTCCAGCCACAGTTTCTTATTTACATTAGACTTTTAGGTCTTAAGTCCCTCTTACACCTCACTACTTCTCATAAAGAATTCCAGCTTGCACTCTAACCAACCGGTAGAAACCAGTTAAAACCAGTTTTATGTACCAACGGTCCCCTTGGGGCCACTGGGAACTCTAGTCATTCAACTTCCTGGAATAGGGGCCTGTACTTGAATATTTCAGGGATATGACCGAAGGTGACTGACGGCCCGTCTGGTGTCCAATTATGTTTTGTACTGTGTCAGCCATCTTGGCTCGTTTGCCCTGAAACGGCGTAATGCGACATATATCACGGAGTTGGGTTTGAAATGTCTTTATGAATGGTTAGTTGATAAATGTTTTTATACTGTTAAAGAATTTCTGAGTGATTGATTATTGTTATTAATATGTAGATTCCAATTTTGTAAAATTTGCATGTCTACCCTGGACAAAACATGTTGGACTTGACATTTTCTATCGACCATTTTGTTACCATGTTTCTGAGCAAATAAATGATTTATTATTATTTTGGATGGGTTTATTTTTATTAATTTAGGCTTTAGCAAAATATCTTCGAGAATTTCTTTTTTATACAGTGAATTACATGCTTACAAAGTTGTGGGTAATATAAATAATACCTAAAGACAACGTTATTCAAATAGTTATGAATGCATTGCATAGATAATACTGTACCACGAGCTCTAAAAGGTGGCTCGTATAAGAACAATTAATTTACGCTGCATACTACGAATTTTGCAAGTCTACGAATTGTAGCAGTGCTACGAAATATGCTAGTGTTACGATATTGGGAAAATATTGTACTCGCTTGTATCTTTTTAACGTACTTTATTCATAGTTTTAATCATTTTTTGTGGGGTTCAAAGTGGAATTAAATATGTCCTAGTAAGTATGTAGCATAATAATTTGATTATAGTTTGTGTTACACAACACCCTGACTTGATGCTTAGTGTCACAAACATCCAGCTATGAATCACAAGCGTATGTGTGCCCGTACGTCTCATTACCATGATTTAATACGGCAGCCATGACATCTCATAAATGTCACGTTTTGTAACATGAGATATCCATCGCTGCGTATTAAGTTTCGGAACTATCTACACAACAATAGTGAATTATTTATGTAAATATAGAAATATTTATATTATTTATTGGTAGAGTAACTCCATGACAAATAAATGTTTAACATGCTAAAATATAATAAAAAAGTAAGTTTTCCTTCATATACAATTTATTTCAATAGCTTTAGGATATTACAATAAGTTTTGATATTACAATTTTTGTAGCTTTCCATATAAAATCAAATCTTCTTTGTTTATGGTCATTGTTAAGAATCTAACTAAACACTTTAGGTAGATGAAAAAATTTTGGATTGCCAATGATGAAACATGGAAATTGAAAAGTGTGTAAAAACAAATAAACAAACAAATATTCTATAAATTATTATCATACTAAAACGACAGTAATCATAACCAATGTGGAATGAGTTATCTTAATTTTATTCAAAATGGAATATTAAAATCCCCTTTTACACAATTATTTTGTCACACCCTTCTAAAATCCAAAATGGCTCAATCATCGAAAAACCATTTGCAAATCAAATGACCGTTTAAAAATGCGTTATTTTGTGGAAATTTATATTTTTCATACATTTGAACACGTACAATACCCGAGGCTTTAATTATAGCGCTGTCAGAGTAACAGGAATACATTATTTTGTAACGCAAAATGTACGAAAATGCTTCGCTAAAGTTATAGTTTAGGGGACATGGTCCTAGTGCTTTATGATTCAGGCAAAAGTTACAAAGTATACAGTCATAAGTACGCTTGGAAAAAAGGGGTTTCACGGTACTTAAGCAAATAGGAGCATCTTTAGAAGACATCATTATGGTTAAAATTTACAATTTGTGAATGTTCAAATGTGCATTTTTTTTTACAAAGATAGAGCTATGTATTTACGAATACTTTTACTAAGTTTTTCTTTTTGAAAATCGAAACCCGTTATGATCAATCAACAAAGTCAGTTATTTTGGTTTTTCGCGATCAGAAGTGCACACTAAATTAAACTTCTCAGGTTGCTTAAAGTTTGCTAAAGGTATAATCCAACCTCAATCAGCATTGTTTGCGGTTTACTTTAATTAATGTTGTTGCGCGTAGCAACCTATTAAGTATAATGTTGCGAATAAGATGTCTGGCTCTAGCACTCTGCTAAACTGTCGTTCAGGGGAATCGCGGTTTAAGACGTGGTTGAACGGTGGTTAGTTTTGGCGTAATCGTTTGTTCAAGGATGAATTAAGATTTAGGCTCACTTGATTGACGTTTTGCTAAATTATATTAAAGCTAGACATGTTTCAATTGTCTTTGCATCCTAGAAATTTATTAGTTAATATATTAGTTTCAATCTTTTAATGATGTTTTAAATTTAAAAAAAAGTTTGAATCAGAATTTGTTCATACAAGTGGCTCTTAATTTAGATCGTTTAGGTATCGAAAACGTTATTTTCTGTGAAATAATTTACAATATTTCTAATATTACTTACCCTTGCTCGTGACCTCGTGCCCTGCTGGTAGTCCGATCCGTAACCTCGACCCTGGAACAAATATTTAGAATCAATATATAGCAGAGTTCATTTGGGCATTATTACACTTTTGAGGGTAAATTTTCTAGGAGAAAATGTCTAGTCATACGACTGCATGACTATGTCGATTCGTTTAAATTGTATTTTTTGTTGTTCCTATTTTTTCATCAGTATTATAAGTATTCTACTTAATAATAGAGCAGATTTGTAGTGGATGGTATTGTTTTATCTTCTCTTACACTTCTTTCTTTAGAGAGAGCCAGACTTTCTTTGAGACTTGTTCTAAAACGTCCAATATTTGTAAATGTATGGATTTAAGTCCTACTAAGTTCTAAAATTTCTGAAAGTACCTACCTAATTCTTAAGTTTCCTTGAATCGAATTAAGCATCTCACTCCAATTATCGAAGGTTCTAGTTACTTGTAGACTTAACCTTACGAGCCCTGGTGGGTAGCGTGTGTGCTCGCATAACTAAATTTTGAAGTTTCTTAGTAGGACTTACTTTCTAACCACCTTCTTCATGACGTGTTAATCGTGAACTAACCGAGTTAGTTGTTTGTTTGTTCCAACGTGAAGGATACGCATCTGTAAGCCTTCTGCATAAGGTCCAAAGTCGGTATTTTCAGCAGTTAGTGGCAGTGACACTCTAATTTCGTCTCGGTTATTTCAATTAGGGATTAGAACGTGTTAAGGCTTGTGAGCCGTTGGAAAGTTGTTGTTTATACGGGTGACGATAGTTTAAATACAGTCGACGGCAGATAAAGCTAAAATGTCTTATTCAGTTGTAAAAGGTACTATTTTGCCAAAAAATACTGCGGCACTTTTTTGTATTAGAAGATACGAGCATATCAACAAGTGTGAACCATACTGTTTCAAAAGGGCACATTTTTCAATGCACATACAACATATCTGAATTTCATAGTGATGTACTGTTATCACGTCGTATGCCGTGATAAATAAAAAAGTGAAAGAGGATAAAACTGTGTCTGAGACGGCAACATTGAAGCCAATCTTGCTCTAAAATGGAATTGCACACAAGAAGCTTATTTACGCGTATTTAGTTTAGTAGTACTTCGAAATAAGTACACAGGCGGGCTGATTGTACTAAAGTTTCGCTCAACCCGATAGCTTGTCAATTTGTCGATTTCAACTAGTGCCAACGGAAATTATAACCTCCAGCAAAATTCGTCTCCAATTACCCCCACCGCACTGCCCGCGTCAAAATGGCCGGCGTCAGCCAAAACGGGCTGGCTGACCGAAACTACCCTCAAATGGAATGTCAGTTAAATATTTAACCGTTTCAAGTTAAATTGAGCGACATCAACAAGTCGTGTTATGGGTGCGTTAAACCCAAGTTTACTCTAATATAATTTGCTGCAAACCCCTAACTTTTCCTTGAGACAATGCTAAGTTTGCGGCTGGTCTGTACACCACATTGTAGACTTTATTCCCTCGTGATAAGGTTAGCATTTTTTATGACACCTTGGTTTAGAGACTGCGGAAAAAGTTGCCTCTATTGCATTTACAATTTATAGTGCAGCAGCTGCTGCTTAGCTTCTTTTTTATCAAAATTTAAGCTTAAAAAACAGCCTTTTTCCTGCTTCTCGTCTCTTAGGATTAAAAAGAACATATTTTATGTCTATCTCACACTGTATTTAGTGTATAAATTGAAAGTATTATTCTAAACAATTTATTAGATTTACCCTAGAATCAATTAAAAGATATAGATTCTGAGATGTCTTTTCTATACTTATAAAATCTGGAAAACTTCAAAGTTGAATTGTACGTATTTACTAAACCTCTGAAAGGTAACTTTACAACTCTCCTCTCTTGAATTAAAAATACAACTTCCACGGGCACGAAAGAGCAGTAGCAATAGTTACATTTCTTAAACATAAAACAACCTTTTGCCCTCACTTTCTTAGCCGTTTCATTTACTTTGGTTATTTATTCTTAATTTTTACTTTAAGAGCATGCCTATATTATAACATTTTTCTTAAAAACTAGAACATCGAAAAATAAATCCGCTGCAAAAACAGTCACACTTCGCTGCTACTTCAATTGAAATTGCTTAACAAGAAGTGGTCTTTTGCATGAGCTGAAAAAACGATTGTAAATCCGTCGAAGGAGTCCCGTGGGACGCAATTTATTCCTCCCTGGAGTGCGTTCGTGGTGCAAGTTATGAGTTTCTTAAGGATTTTGGTCTTATTTTTAGGGTTTGAGAGCGACAGTGAAACTTGACTCAGAGTTGAGTCACGTTTTGAGTTGTCGACAAATTTTATTAGTTTACAGAAGGGTAACTTGGGTATTCCCGTGCATAAACTATTGTTATTTTATTATTTAGTTGACTAACACAATATTTTATTATAGTTTGGAATACTGCCACTTTTGAAGAAGAAAAGATCCTTCTTGAACTCTAGTTATATTTTAAAACGTAAACAAAACAAGAGAGACGCCTTTGACCTTGCTTTAGCCTAAGAATTACAGTTCTACTTGTAATAGTTACAAATTATTTTCATAAGCCATAAGTATCATTTAACTCTCATAGTCATATTTCGAAGAACAAACGAAGATGAAGGCGATATTATACAGGGTGTTTCTTGTAAGGTGTCAAGCCGAAGGCAGGTGATAGGTGAGGACTAGACCTATCGATTTCACCCCCATGTATGTTCTACGATTTTACATAGTTAAGAAGTTATCGTCAATTTTGTGATTTTTTAAAATTGTATGACCCAGTAGGCTTTAAATTTTTTTATCTTTTTTTTGGGTCGACTTTTCTCAGATTTCTTTTTTTTGACAGATTCCCTATTAATTGCAGATTTTTGAAAAAAATAAATAACTTCCTATCTTTGATGCAAGATACAAAATTTTTGCTAGAAACATAAAAAATATGCTATTTAGCGGAACATTCTAAAATTTTCAACTTAAAAGTTAAAAAAAAAAGAAATTCCATAGGTCCAAAATAATTTAAAAAACTGCGCAGTTTTCTGAACTTTCATAATAACACAAAAAAACATGTACTTAATAGGCCATTATTTTCTGTAATCGCTCCACTAATGTGGTAAGTCGGAGATTCCGTTACATGTTTTTTGACTTTCTTAGGACTAACTAATGATTGCAATTCTCTAAGTTTACGTTACGTAGAACACATTTAAAGACAATAACTGAACAGAACATTTTTTTATCCACAACGAGGAATCTCTTGCCCTTCATCTGACCTGATGAAAACTGATGGATGATCAGCGAGCTTCACTCGGAATCCTAAACCACAGAGGAATTGGCTGTCCTAAATAGGTGGCCTTACCACTAGACCACAGTGGTGGTTGTTACTTTACGATTAAATTCGATATAACTAACTACCTACATATTAGAGTGTGAGAGAAAGGGAAAGAGTTTGTGTGTGTGTGTGTGTGTGTGTGTGTGTGTGTGTGTGTGTGAGAGAGAGAGAGAGAGAGAGAGAGAGAGAGAGAGAGAGAGAGCAAAAATGGGTATAATGATTTAATTTAAAGTAAATGTTCATAATGTCCGCCGTTGACCTGAATGCACATTCGACAACAACGCAAAAAAAATCTTCGTAAAACCTTCTTCTTCATTTTAATTTGGTTTTGTGCTTCAGTCAGCTTTGTCCGCAGTTCATCAATATTTTCATATTCCCTATTGTATACCAGATGAAGGGCAAGAGCTTCCTCGTTGTGGATAAAACAATGTTCTGTTCAGTTATTGTCTCTAAATGTGTTCTACATAACGTAAACTTAAGGGATTGCAAACATTACTTAGTCCTAAGAAAGTCAAAAACATGTAACGGAATCTCCGACTTACCACTTTAGTGGAGCGATTACAGAAAATAATGGCCTATTAAGTACATGTTTTTTTGTGTTATTATGAAAGTTCAGAAAACTGCGCAGTTTTTAAAATTATTTTGGACCTATGGAATTTTTTTTTTTTTTTAAACTTTTAAGTTGAAAATTTTAGAATGTTCCGCTAAAAGCATATTTTTTATGTTTCTAGCAAAAATTTTGTATCTTGCATCAAAGATAGGAAGTTTATTATTTTTTTCAAAAATCTGCAATTAATGGGGAATCTGTCAAAAAAAAGAAATCTGAGAAAAGTCGACCCAAAAAAAAGATAAAAAAATTTAAAGCCTACTAGGTCATACAATTTGAAAAAATCACAAAATTAACTATGACTTCTAAACTATGAAAAATCGTAAAACATACATGGGGGTGAAATCGATAGGTCTAGTCCTCACCTATCACCTGCCTTCGGCTTGACACCTTACAAGAAACACCCTGTATAGATTAGAAATTCAAGGAACCTCCAATACTTTTCCAGCTCGAGTCTTCATGGTACTTAAACTCCCAAATAACAACTAAACCGCCCCAGTTTCCCAACTTGGGCTGTACTGAAAAATTGACGCATTAGCGATCCAGACTTTATGTAAACAAAATTAGTCTTCGGTAAACGAATCCGGGCCAGAGCTTGTTTATCCGGGCTCCGTAATTACGTCAGGGAAGTGCGATTTGCCCCGGCAAAACCCGGTAAATAATATAGCTGACCCGGATAATTTGCGAAGACACCGTTTGAGAGAAACGCCTAGAAAAGGCTGCCTAGATTGTTGATAGGACTACGTGAAAACCTTGGGGTAGGTTGATACAATAGTCCCGGCTATTTTCGCCGCCACCCACTGATATACTGTATGTAGGTCCCACTCTATAAAAACTTAGCCTAGCACTCGTAAAAAGAGATGATCTCATTATCTTCGTTAGAAGAAGGAACACAGCTTTACATTAATGGCAAAATAGCCTCTGAAACCGTTAGGTGTACTCGCTAGCGAGTGCGTCAAAAAATCGTAGCCAGATGGGCGCTGTACAATTTGTCATGCATTTCATGTAATTTTTTTTACGCAATCGCTAGCGAGCACACCTAACGTAAACTCACTGATGTGATTAAAAAGTTTTTCTCTTAGGCAGTTAAATTTTTCAACTGATTCAAAATTTAGTTTGAGATGCGACT